GAGTGCTCTTGATCGCCCATTGTATTTATGCACAGGCATTTCCGTACATTCACGTTGTTTCCACACACATTCGCGTTAATGTTTTGATTTGTCATGTGTATGTTGCTGTCATGTGTTAGTTATTCTGAATGGATCCGTGTACTGTGTAGTAGATAAATGCAGTCAGCAGGCGGTTGGTTTAGTGGGTTTTTGGCATCACCATGTGGTCCTGTTCGGTATCGCAACTTGACTTCTCTAAAATGTAAAAAAGCTATTTGCTGTTGCACTGTACACATACTATACAATGCAGATCTTTTTTTTTTTTGCATTTTTTTTTCTTTCATATGTGCTTATATGGGCTCCTTATATCATTTGGTTCTTTGGTGTAAAGCTATTTGCTGTTGCACTGTACACATACTATACAATGCAGATCTTTTTTTTTTTTGCATTTTTTTTTCTTTCATATGTGCTTATATGGGCTCCTTATATCATTTGGATCTTTGGTGTTGTTTTGGAGTATCCTCTTGGAGTTCTTTTTTGGAAAGACATCTACATTTATCTTGAAAAAAGCTTGCAGAAAATACAGATTTTTGAGAATCACCCTTCAATCTTTTGGTTTACTTTGCTGAATATAGCAAATGATGACAAAATAACCATTTGAAACAAGATAAATGGTCTATGCTTAATTTCATGAAGTGTGTGATTAATCACAGAAAAAGGGTGTGATTAATCAGATAAAAAAATGTAATCTATTGACAGCCCTAATATATATATAGTCAATATTACTCAGAAAACAAGATACAGGTTTAACTCATTCGAAATACTTCTGCTTAATGTTACACTAAATAAATATCTCCTATCTCTTGCTCTGGCTACGGTGTATAGACTGCCAGGGCCGTATACAGATTTCCTAAAAGAATTTGCAGATTTCTCTCAGACCTATTGGTTACTGTTGATAAAGCACTAATTGTCGAATAAACTGCCTGATTCATCTCAACTGCTCTGTGTACCCATAAACACATACGAACTAGGCGAAATGACTAGCAACACGGGCACTTCTCTAATACATTAGAAGCTGATGCCCCCATCAAATTGAAAAAGGTTAGAGAAAAACGTACCGTGCCATGGTACAACAGTAATACCCATTCTCTCAAGAAAGAAACTCGTAATCTTGAGTGCAAATGGAGAAAAACTAACTCAGAAGTTTTTAGAATTGCGTGGAAAAACAGTATGTTCAGCTATAGACAGGTTCTAAAAGCTGCCAGGGCCGAGCATATCCACAAACTCATAGAAAATAACCAAAACAATCCAAGGTTTTTATTTAGCACAGTGGCTAGATTAACAAATAACCAGACGCCACCCAATCTAAATATTCCCTCACAGTTTAATAGTAATGAATTTATGAATTTCTTCACTGATAAAATAGATAACATCAGAAATAAAATAACAAATGTAGATTCTACAGCGTAAAATACTTCAGCTTCATTCATCGCACAAAAAGATAAACTGCAGTGCTTTACAACTACAGGTGCATCTCAATAAATTAGAATGTCATGAAAAAGTTCATTTATTTCAGTAATTCAACTCAAATTGTGAAACTCGTGTATTAAA